TGTGAAAAGAAAAGGGTAGCAAATCCTCACAGTGGGAACGCTAGAATCTGAGAATATTTGGCATTCCTTCTTGAAAGATGACTTAAATTTTAATCAGTCATCAAAATAGTTTATTTTTCTTTGTTAATTGTTTCAGCTCTATTTTTTATAGGTGAGCCAGGCTGAAGAGTAAATCAGGCCCAGTATGTAAAGATGGAGCCTTGCAAGCAGACTGCAAAATTAAGTCACCAAAAGAAGACTGACAAAGCAAAACCCCATGATGACCATGACTCACTTCCTGCTTTATGCCTTGAGCATCAACTTCTTTGGAACGTCACAGACAAATACTGTGGAATACTGAAAGATCCTCTACAGACATGTATTAAGAAATACATACGTATACAATACGTTCTGGGCTACTGTAGAAACATGGCTGTTCAACATGGCTGACTGCGTAGAAGAGGACCTGCTCCCTCTGTAGATAAAAACAGCTCATTCTAAGGGAACAAAAACACGATTCTTATATTCAGAGTGTTTATTAACACTAATAAATTAAACTCTATGAATATTATAATTCAATTTGACAATAGATCCTCCTAAATATCACACACTGGACCTTTAAGTCCTCTTTCAAAATGTTCTTTCAATGAAATGACTCAACACAGAAACAAGGAAGGCTCCTGAATGTAATTTGTTCCATCAAGTAAGTATGGCAGACAGCTCTAAATACTACAATACCCATGAGCTTGTTGCTATGAAGAAGATAGTCAGAGGCATGGATCAGCGCTGGAGAGAATTCTAAACACAAAAATATGGCAACATAGCTGCTGAATTAATTCAAAATTGACCCTGAATCAGAAAGTGAATCCATTGATATATTTTTTTGTCACTTTTCAAATAAAATATTTGCTGGTTCCGGCTTCTCTAATATGAGTATTTCCTGCTAGCTTTTATCACATATATTATGATGAAGCATTTTTGGACTGTAAGCTGGATAAAACAAGTCATTTCACAAGATCACTCAGAACTCTGGGAAGCTGCACAGGCATCTTTCACTTTGTTACATAAATGATTAATAAACTGAAAACAATTTGTCAGCTGTAGCCCTAATTGTTTTATTACTTTTCTCAACAGCGCATTATTTAAAGCTGCAGTAGTTAACTTTTCTTAAAAAAACAAAAAACTTTTTGTCCTATTTTCTGAAACTTTCACTATATCCTGACAGTAGTACATCAGACAGATAATAGGAAAATAGGATCTGATTGTCAAGTGATAAAACATGCTGAAGTCTTGGTACTGTTGATTTACTACAAGAACACACACTGTTACTGATCTTGCAGTGCTGAAAAATGTTGGCAAATGGAACCTTCTAGCTGACACATATTTTCCATTTGTCACTATTATTAAAATATAATTTCTCTTTATATTAATTATGGATAATTACAAATACAGATAAGTAGCAAGTGGTCACACAGTAAGAAAAAATAAATCATAAATAGACATCAAATATGTTAATTGATGATAATTATTTTATAATTGCATTCACACCCCTACCATTTTGTAACAAATATGTGTGTAGGACGCTGATTAACAAAGACAGCCTCTTATATTAAGAAGAATAGAAAGTGGAAATATGGCGAGGTATTAAAGACATAGCCTAAGCAAATAGGAGCATTAGTTCACTATTTCCATTTAATCAGAAATGAACCCCCTTGTGCAGTAAATATGAGCAAAATGTCTTCCAGAAGAACAATTTCCTTATCTTTCGAGGACTTTCTGTCCCTACAAGGACACTAATTCAGGAACTTTCTTTTTCATAAAAGCACTTTCCCAGAAACTGTGGTGCCCCAGCAAGACGATGAGGACACACACACCCATTGTGTGGCAGCAGCCTGGATAGCAGGATGATTATGAGAGAGGGTTAATTGTTTTCTGCCCAACACATAATGTGGCAGTCTGTTTCCTCTTCAGTGAATGGGTCAGGCAGACACGTCACACTATGCACTCTAGGTCAGTGGGATGGTGATAAAAGGATGACTCATAGAGCTGAGACAAATGATCATCATAGGGCCACCGTGATTTTGGGGGTGAAAAGCAAAGAAGATAAGGCAGAATGTGAAGTAGAGAGGAGGGGAGCAGGAAAACACATGTTAAAGATGAAGACAGAGATAAGAGCTAAACAGATGTCAATGGGCAGCCAGACAAGTAGTGGGGGTTAATCAGGGCTGTGTGTTGGCAATACAGTACATATCACGTTACAAGGCTTATGATCAGTATTGTGATATGGTAAGCAAGTCAATATATTGCCATTTTTTAAAATCAGATTTTAGGAAAACTGCCATAGTATAAAGAACACACCACCACATGCATAAAATCTGAGTCAAAAGTTTTCACACTTGAGCTCTGTTCGCTGCAGGGACTGGTCTAATTCTTTCGCTTTCAGCCATTAGTAGTAACTCTACTAGTCAGCTGGGTTTGCTAATGCTAGCAGTGCGCCCTTTATGACTCTTCCTGTTTCACAGGCCTGTGTTCTTTGCGTTCACACAAGCAATATGTGCTAACTTATTCATGTCTCAATTTATGTTGGAGTAGAAGAGTTAAATGGCAGAAGATAGATTACAGCACTGCTATTTAGTGATTGGTGGTTAATACACAAAATGAACCACTGCCCAAATATTTGCAAACTATTAATTATAAATCAAAATTGTTTTAAGAATCGATACAGTATGTTCAAGTGTATCAATATTTTCTTACACCCCTATCGCTCATACTAGAACTTTTCACACACAATTTTCAAGCTGCAGTAGGTAACTTTTATAAAAATAACTTTCTGTCATGTTTGCTGAAACTTTCACTATCATCCTGACAGTAGAACATATAACAGATAATCTGTGAAAACAAATATGGTTCCCTGGCTCCTCCTAGTGCTCCTAATGGAATTTGTAAGAATCCACCAGGCTGAATGTGTGTGCTTCTGTCGCTGCAGAATAAATAAAACTCTAATTTCTTATTTTTGGTAATTACAACTTTAGCCAAAGCCACATTATTGTGCACAAGTCAAAATAGTTTCAGCGTGATTTTAATAGCTTCTTCAGTAGAATACATCTACCCTCACAGACTCCAATTAGCAGTGTTGAATACTGACATACTCTTGCTACATGTTATGCGTTATAATGTTTGCAGTTTAAACTGTCATCAAGTGTTCATTTGATCTGAGGACTGCAGGTGATGCTGAATGAAGAGGAAATACAATGCAGGACTGGAGTCCTATCCAACATCTGCTGCACACACATCCACTCAAATTCTGACACAAGGCCATCCACAGAACTCATACACCACACTGACAAATGCAAAACGTAAGTGGCCAATCAGACCCTACCACCCTCATAGTTCTGTTCTTCTTGTTGGAAGAGAAATTCCAGCATATCACTTATAAATCTGGAAATGACCGTTGTGTTGCTTAATGTGTGTACCATGGGAGAAACTCTTTAAGTACAGGCTCTATTTGTCACTTAACAAACTACCAAATATTTATTAACGATTCATCTGTGGATCATTTTTTTGATTCATCAATTAGTTGTTTGGTCCGTAAAATGTCAGAAAAGCCTGAGGTGACGTCCTCAAATGTCTCATTGTCTCAACCCAAATATATTCAGTTTACTGTCACAGAGGACTAAAGAAAGCACAAAGTTATCATGTTCAAATAGTTAATCGATCATTGCAGCTTTATAACAAAGCTCTACTTATAAATAAATTTGATAACAATTAAAGATTTTGATTAAGTTAATTGTCTGGCTGTGTTCACTTACCAGCACCCTGTTTATGGTTAAAGATGCTTAGAATATAATGACAACATAATCCTAATATACTTTAAATGTGGCTTTGTAGCTGTTTCGTGGTTTATAGCCTACATAGATTCTAGAAAATTAGGCAAGTTGTGAAAAAGCTGCATTTAATCATCGGATTCTGAATGGAAAGGTGAAGGCAGCTAAACAGGCTACCAGTTTTTGATCAAAGGGTGGGGTGCACACTGTCAATGTTTGCAATAAGTTCTCTGCATACTGTAACATAGGCTATGTCTCTACTTCACTTCCTTTTTCAAGCAAGTTGGCTTCCTCAAAATGCCAAATGTTGTGAGCAGCATGCAGTTTACTTCACTGTAGACATCAGCACAAGGCCTTATATGATCTTAGGATTCTTTTAAGCAGATGCCACAAATCATTACAAAAGTGATGAGTGTAATTGACTGTTACCCTGCATGCCAAACATCGTTCAGAAATACGGCAAATTACAGTTTACTTGGTTTGTCAAACCAGGAAACGTTATTAGGCCCTTTTTCTGACACCTTCGTCAACCACAGTGGATCCGCAAAGGTTTCTGTGTGAAATGGCAACCTTTCGATGTTATTCCCCGAATCCCATCCTGTCGAAATGAACCGTTACTCAATACTCAATGTTAAAACGCAATTCACATATGTGCTAAATCAGGTTTGCAGTAATGCCGAATTCACCAAAAGACCCATCTGACTTAGACAATGTCTGAAATTCTGTTTTCAGTGTTATGTGGTTACACCCACGCGTAGCGCTACAATAAAAAAGAAGATTTTTCAAGTGGAGTCCGCAGCTGTCTTCCGTCGGAGCTTGGAATCTGACCAACATGTTGATGCGACAGATTGACAGGTGAGCAGGTGCTCTGTGCCAAAAAGTGTTGCCTTTAGCTGGCTGCAGGACTCGGTCTGGTATCGCTATTACACACCAAACTAACATCTTTCTCTAATGACTATTACATGTATCATGAAAAGAACCAATTCTATGGGCCCTAACTTTCTCTCTCTAATAACTTGGTCGCGCCCTTGTAAAGTTATTTTCCTCCCGAGGTTTATACCATCACATAGTCACTTTCTACTGAAGTGTTCACTTTCACTGAACTATCTCTAAACTGGGAGCCCACATTGCAAACACAGAAGAAACGGACAGCCACAGCGCAGCAGCACACACAGCGGGACTGAAAGGGCTACTCACATCTTCCATGATAAAGGACCAGAATCCGTTATGTGAGTCAGTAGCCTAAAATCAGTCCACGTCGCTCTTATCGTCGCTTGAAACGGTTTTCTTCTCCCCTGTCGGTCGGCAGCTCACACATTTCCAACAGCACACGTAAATGGAGAAAAAGGAGGAACCGTGTAGTTTGTGACACCGAAGCTCGTCTCTTTTTTCCTCTTTTGCCTCAGAGAAAGAAGCTCGAAGAAAAAAGTTTGGTTTCCGGTTAAAGTCCCTCACACTCTTGAATCTGTCGAGGAGGAGCAACACGACAGCAGGCTGTGTGCATCCTCCGAGACCTCGCTGAGAGGAAACTTTATCCGATCTGCACTGCATCGAGCAGTTCTTTTCTCTGCGTGGAGATCACACACACACACACACACACAGGTATATACACACACAAAGTGGGACATAAACTGATCCAGACTGGGAGCTGCTGCAGCATCCTTTGAGATCCACACACAGCAGTCCTCTCATCCAGAACTTACTCTGGAAAAAACATTTCCATAATTCACCAAACTCCAGACAGAAGGAGTTTTTAGGGTAACATATTGTAGTTTTTATCCTCTTTATACGCCTTTGTGAGGACGCAGGACCAAGTGGATGATGAACATTGTAGTGGCCTCTCATGTTACTACACTCAGCACTTCCTGGTAGGTGTGGCTGTTCCTGAGCTTGTTGGTTAGTTAGAGAGGGGATGTTTAAAACTCACAATAAAAGTGATGCCACCACTTTCTCATAAGGCATAAATGAGAAAAGTTGTAACTGATGGCTTTATGAGTGGTTAATAAACAGTGGCAGACTCAGGCTGTTTGGGGCAAAAAAAGAAAAAGGGCACAAGTGCACAGAAAGTTTTGATGCATTTATGGTGAAACAGCTTAGTTGGAGTTAGCACCCTAGAGGGCACTTTATCCCATTTTCTCCACAGAAAGGGGACCACAGAGGGCACTTTATCCCATTTTATCCACTGGAAGGAAGGACTAGAGGGCACTTTATCACATTTTATCCACTGGAAGGACAGACTAGAGGGCACTTTATCACATTTTATCCACTGGAAGGGGACCACAGAGGGCACTTTATCACAATCTATCCACTGGAAGGACAGACTATAGGGCACTTTATCACATTTTATCCACTGGAAGGGGACCACAGAGGGCACTTTATCACATTTTATCCACTGGAAGGGCACCCTTTTCATACATATGACTTCAGAAAAGCTTTTCACTTCACCGCTTTTACGTGTCTTGCAAAAGCGGTTGCTAAACAAGTAGCTAAATGAGACTACAGTGGTTGTCGTTGACTTTAGAACACAGAGACTTATCTACTCACTAGTCCGCCTTTACAGCCTTGTTATACTTGCACTCTTGCAAACTAGTCTGACTCAAACTTTCCAACTTGTTGTTTGTAGTATTTTTTCAATTGTAGTTCTTTTCAAACTAGTTTTATAAATTCTAGAATAACCAAGTACCAAGTTCTTCGTTAGCTAGCTAAGATACACCGGGCTCCTGTTCTACCATGTGCTCTTCTTTCCACTACCTCACTATAAAGGTCAGTAATCTTATCTCCCTCCACCTTTCTTCCCCTCTATTTAAAGGGGAACTTGGCAACTTTGAAATGCCCATGTCAGTTTTTCCATCGCCAAAACTTTTGCCTAACTTTGGAGCATCTATTTAGTCCCTGAAACCTCTCGTCCAGGCCATCACCTCATCCCTCCCTTGATTGTTGAAAAATGTAATTAAAAATATAATACAGACACGATTAATTGTCTAAAAAGTTCCCCAATCATATAAGGACAATCACAGGAAATAATCTGCCTCACAAATTTCATCCAAATATCTGG